TATTTGTGAGATAAAATAAGAGGATAATAAATTAAGTTTGTAATGAATCAATCGGACTTTATTATTTACTAACATTTTATTTTACAACTAACTTTCACCTCGTGGTATTTTTTTACAATTAAAATTCTTTTAGCGCGCTCACCGTGCCCACTGGAGATTATTTTTTCGATTTCATTTAGGCACATTAACGATAATATTATACGCATAAAAATACAACACAATTTAAGAACTTGGAATATTTTTTTAAGAGACGGCATTGTGTTGTTATAAGACCTCGCACAAAAAGGATTAACGCCAATATTTGTGTTTCTCAAATCCAGATTATTACTCAATACGTTACGCAAATTGAATAATTATGACAAAAAATACAGTCGAAAAAGGCCTAATAATTTCAAGAAATTCCAACATAACGTGTTTATGCTATTTTTATCTGAAACGTAAATTCCACAAACGAAAATATTATTGATACTTGACTTTCAATTCTTGGTATTTACTTCGAGTGCAGCCATGATTAGATAACGGTGGTGGATACCTACAGTGCAATCGCCTACTTCGATTAGCTTTTCAGAATCGCTACCTTCTCGATCGTACCATATCTACCTGGAACTGAGTCAACATTGTGTTTTTAAGGAAACTTTAGGACATTTTACTAGAAGCTTCTCGGTTTTTTCAGAAAATCTTTATCACTTTAAAAAGATTATTTCTTACTAAAAACAGTATCCTATACAGGTTGTTTTCAGGGTATCAAGTTTTAAGAGTTATGCCTTAGCTATCGATTTAACCCCTATATTTTTTCTGATTTTTGTGATTTAATGACGCAACTGCTCAGAAGAATCCAACAGCATAAGCACAGACTATACATTTTTTATAACTGAATTGTATATCTCATAATTAATTATACACAAAATATCAACTGTACTCGGTTTAGCCGTGAAACGTACCAAAAGAACAGTCTGACATTACTAAATTATAAAAAATAGAAAATTGTTTTTTATCGATACGAAATCCCAATAACTGTAAAACTAATGCATCGTATTTTCGCGTGATTTGGAGGTCGACCCCAGTTCATATTGATGAGCTCCGTCGCGTCCATAAATGGCACGCATTTGAATGAAGTAAACACATTATAATAAAGGTACAGCCAACAGCACAACGGTCTGATTTTTTTATTGGAAAATGTCTCGTATTGCAACTCTGTAAGATGCCACAAAGTGGTGCTGTCGTCTGTAGGAATATACTTACAAGTATGATTGCTGTGTATTTCAATACTTTTCCGTTGTTTTCATACATCATACACACGTCCCAAACAACCTGTAAAGTATAACCTGTGTCGAGACATATAAATACTTTCTATCTAGGTATCTATCAAACCCAAATCACGCACAATCATATCTCAATACTTCCTGGTAGTAGGCATTGTAGGTAGATTAGCTAAAATAAAGAAAACTAAAATGATTTATTAAACAATTACTACTAAACTAATTAGTAAACTATTGTTTGATTTGACGTACGGTAGGTACATGGTGGAAGAGAAGCCACAGGTAGGAATGCCAGTAAATGCAACAAATATTCAAAAAAGGGATTTAAACTTGCTTACCTGCTTGTTTAGCTTTGATGATGATTTACAGACGTACATTCGCGTAGGTACCTACATAAGCTTTTTTAGAGTGGAAAATTAAAATAAATATTTTTTTTTCACTGTGATGTAACTTCCTCTATTCAAAATAATATTTTTGTCAATTTTGCCAACATTCTACTATAGTTTATCAGAGAAGTCACTTAAAAATACCTGTGCTAACTTGTTCTGTGGGCGGATTAATTATAAGTTACAATCGCTTTAGTAATTAATAATCCTTTTTGGTTTAATTACCTCGCGGTAAATCGGAATTACTGGTATTTTTCTTATCGTGGGTCATTTATTAGCACGTGAAAAAAAGCACTATGTTTTTAATAAATTCAATAGAATTTTCTACTCATTCAACAAAGGGATGTATTTTCTCACGACCCCATGTAAATGGCGTGTCATCATTTAATTTGTGATATCGACTTATACAATAGTGTTGAAAAAGTTGTTTTGTTAATTCATTGGCCGAACGGAATTAAAACCAGGGATGCAGATTTTAAGGATATGAAGTTTCGGTTATGGATACGGTTACGGATATTAGAATAATATTATACCGGTTTCGGTTATGGTTACGGATATGAAATCATTTCGGATTATCCGAAAGTTTCGGATAATTTCGGTTACGGATATTAGAATTTTAAATGAAAAATTCAAATAGCATGATGCTGCGCGACCCACATAGCCACTTTATGTACTTTATCGACATCTATGTTAAAGGTAAAACAGTCGGGGATATTAGATGATGCCAGGGAATGCCAGACAAGTAATAAATATTAAAAAATATTAAGATTTAGACTCCGCCTTTATCCGAAACCTTTGAATCGGTTACGGATGTTTTTTTATTTCGGATATCCGATAGTTTCGGTTACGGTTACGGATATCCCTAACATTCCTGATTAAAATATAAACCAACAACATGTGTATGTGCCATCGCGGACACGCTAAAGTTGAAGTGTCTCCTTATCAAAAAGCACACTGAAGCCGACTTTTTGTCTCGGATTGAAGGTCGACCTAACAATAACACGAAACAATACGGTCCTCGTAAATGAAGGAATTTTAGCTGCATTTTATATTTTCCTTCTAGTTTGTTGGGACACATATGGAGTGGAGGCAGTAGGATCGTTTTATTGTCCACTTGTACATAATTATATCAGACACATTCAGTAGGTGACAAACAAATAAATGATGTTAAAAACAGTAAATATCATCATGATCATAGTCATATTTTTTTGGTCGGCTATTTAAAAAACTCGTTAATTTGCATTCGTATAAATAAATAGTTACATTATTTTCTCTTATTGGAAAGATTAAATTATTCATTCAGCCTCCAGACTGATTCTAATATTTCTAATACCTATTCTTGAATGAAAATTACCCAAAACATTTATGATTAATCCATGGTTAGCGAGTGTGATATTTTTGGGAACCTTTTTCCTTCCTAACACTAATTACTAAAAATATAATCCCGATTATTGAACCAGTTTATTTAAATAATTTTATGAAATTCATAAAATTCATTTATTTTTGCAAATAGGCTTTAAAAAAGCACTTTTAAACGTCGCAATATTAACCCTACCACTGCTTCGGGACAATAAATGGGCCAGTGCTGAGAAGAAGCAGCGCAAGAAACTCAGTCACTACACACTCAGTCACTATGACTTGTAATACCTATTGAAGTAATTGAGATTGAACCCCATAATTTTGAATTGAGAGATCCAATATTATTACAATACAAACTGATCCCTCTGCACCTACGTTTACTGTGGTTGGACGCTATCTGTGGTGCGAGCGAGAGGTCTCGCCCGTCCCGCTCGCGCAGCGCCGCGGCCCGCATAATATTCTTGCATCGCTGTGTAGCGGCTACCCCGCCTCCGTGCCTCACCCAATTCCGCGTGTTTCCACTGCACTACAACGATTTTATTGACGTATCACGGCTTTTTAGACGCGTGAAAGAATTTTGAAGCACTGAAAAAAAAGTTTTTTTCATTCGTTCGTTTTATCCAAATGACGCCCACTGTTCGACTAAGGCCTCTCCAAGGCTTTCCATAATGAACGGTCCTGCGCTGCCCGCATCTAGGTTCTTCCCGCGACCTTTACCAGATCGTCGATCCACCTAGTAGGAGACCTGCCCACAGTGCCCACGCTACGTCTTCCAGCCCGTGGTCGCCACTCCAGAACTTTTGTGCCCCAACTCCCATCGTCTCTACGAGCTATAAAATTATTACTCCACGGGATTTGACAACAAAGTTTTATAACGGTAAATAAGATATTTATTTACCCTCCCGACGTTTATTTACCGTTATAAAAGTTTTGCTGTAAAATCTCGTGGAGTTATAATTTTATAGTAAAAATGCAACATAAATGTAGTTTAAAATATTCTACGAGCTATGTGCCCAGGCACTTTTTTCATTATTATACTGAATGATATTAAAAAATTAGAACTAAAATACATTTAATTAGGTATGTATTGACGGCACTGTTAGTGCTACTAAAACACTTGACAAAATTTTAAATTTTAGTTTTTTAAATAAATAAAAGTATTTATTAATTTTAGGGTGGGTAAAATAGGGTGTCCATGATTGATATTTGAACTGGAAAATTATTCTGTCTGATGATGGGCAATAAATTACAAATAATATTCATTCAAACAGGATAAATATTCGCGATTTTTGTTGAGAAAGAAATCAATTAAACTGGTAACTTGGGTTCCTTCTATTCTATATTATTAAAGCCAACACACTTACAACACACAAATACACACACCACACACATACACACATCACACACATACATACAGCACGCCTAAAGTAGTATGTTTATGGAATATTTTTACGGAAGTGGGCGTTAGTAGTCGCACCACAGTTCTCTGAAACTATTGCGGCTATTATCGTACACGCTTTTTCATGTACAAATTTTCTTGTTTCCAATAAATAAATTTTGAATATTTTTTTTTTGAATCCTCATAAGGAAAATCAAAAAGCTTTTTAACTTTTCCCGTTTAATTTTACTTTTTTTTATTAAATTATTATTACCGGATTTAAAATTTTATAACGCAAACGAACTATTAATAATTCTTATACTATTGCAGGTAAATTAGAGTATAGCTGATTATTTTTTGATTGATAAGAATTTTGAACTTCGAAAATATCAAATTATCCGTCATTATGAATGGTGTAGTGGAAAGAGTGCTGTCGATTCTCGGTAATCGCACGAAGTCGTAAACAGCCCGCTGCGGCCTCGCACTACGCGGCCCCGGCGACCAATCGCACCGCCGCACCGCCGCGTATCACGCCATCGCCGGCCAACCAGCGCGCCGCTACATCGCGTCATATCCAAAAATAGCTTATCTGAGTCATGGAATAAAAGCCGTGGTTGTTTCTTGTCAATGTTTAGAAACAAGTGGAACGTTGAGCGAACAAGACGTGCGTTCTCGCATGAGAAAGTTTTGAAGTTTGCGCAGTGACTTTAGTGCGATCGAAGCGTTCGGTGGAAACACATGGTTCGCCACTCCGGCCACGGCATGGAGCCCACTTTTTATGACGAACAGTATCCCCTCAACGGCCCCGTGGAGAACCTGAAGCGGACTCTCACCCTGGACTTGGACATGGGGCGGGGCGTGAAGCGCGCGCGGATGAACAACGCGCCGGTGCTGTCCTCGCCCGACCTGCACATGCTGAAGCTGGGCTCGCCCGAGCTGGAGAAGTTGATCATCCAGAACGGCATGATCACCACGGCCACGCCGACGCCCGGCGGCGCGGCGCTGTTCCCGCCCGTCATGCCCACGGAGGAGCAGGAGCTGTACGCGCGGCCCTTCGTGGAGGCGCTGGACAAGCTGCACCACGGCGAGCCCGCGGCGCCGCTCGGCCGGCGCGTGTACGCCGACCTGGACCGGCCGCTGGAGCGCTACCCCACGCCCGTCGTCAAGGACGAGCCGCAGACCGTGCCCAGCGCCGCCAGCTCGCCGCCGCTCTCGCCCATCGACATGGACACCCAAGAACGAATCAAACTGGAGAGGAAGCGACAGAGGAATCGGGTGGCCGCCTCCAAGTGCCGGCGGCGGAAACTCGAGCGCATCTCGAAGCTGGAGGAAAAGGTGAAGGTGCTGAAGGGCGAGAACGTGGAGCTGGCGCAGATGATCGTGAAGCTGAAGGACCACGTGCACCGGCTGAAGCAGCAGGTGCTGGAGCACGCCAACGGCGGCTGCCACATCGACTCGCACTTCTGATCGCGTCGCTGCAGCCCTTCTCCACATTCCAAACTAGTCGCGCCCGCCAGGACGCAGCATACAAAGCGATTTGTGATGTTAATTTTACTGTGTAATATATAGTTAAATATGAACCCTAGTGTTAAGGTGTGAAAGTCGCTACATTGTGAATGCCGTGGACTTATCGTTAAGTTTGAGAGATTAGGTTGCCAGTGATGTGTTATGGCAGAACCTCCGCTCGCGACGACCGATCGCCGAGCGTTTGTCGTGGAAGTTCGTAGCGAGGAATGTACTTAGCGCAAGTCACAACTGCAAAAGCTTTAGCTTTACTTGTAAGTTGGAGAACTGTTGTTTTCTTTGTATCAGTATTGCGTTATCTCATTAAGAATAGTGTAGAAACTAGAAAGGATAATCTTGCTACGTCACTCGTGTGTAGACTGAACGAGGTTGAAGCGACGTTGCCAGTTTTACAGTGAATTTCCCGTTTCAGCGATGTTGCCGCTCTTGCCTCTCTGAATTGGGGATTTCCATTGTTCATTTCTACAATATTTACCCTAAGCTTTATTTTTCCTGTTTTCTTGTGATTAAGACTATGTATTTGATTGCTCGTTTGGTGCAAATCGTATTGACGAACAAAGAAAGACCAATCGTTTATCATATAGGCAAAACAGCTGGTGCGAAAGAGATAGGGTAATGTAAAACTGACAACGGCGCATAAAACCCAAGTCACGAGCGGATGTTCTGCTAATTAAAATTCCGCCTGCGCCGCCCTCGCGGAATGGCGGCCATGTGTTCAACTGTCGGACGTTCCGATTCACGTTTTGGTTGCACAAGGTTAACTTTTTTTGTAAAAGATTAAGGCGTTCAGCGCCATCGTAAAAAGGAACGTTACAGCTCGCTGCTTATTGTTTTAGATGAAGTTAAACGTGCTTGTATGAGAGACTGATCGAATCTGAGATTTGTGTGCCTTGTATGAAAGAGAAAGCGTGTATTGCGCAAAGTATTTTCCCCAATAGGTATGTAAAATGTTGTCTCAGAACTGACCCGGTGCTCTTTACTGTAGAGGACGCGACTTTTGTAACATGAGGCCGTCCTTTTAATGTGTAATTTGTGTACGAACAGAGCATTTCGTAACTGAGCGCCGTCTGATTGTGATTGTGCGTGACGACGAGTGACTGCGAGACGTACGTATTTATTTGTGAGAGTGTTTACCTTTAGGATGAAGTAGCAATCTCGAGTGCCTACGCTTTGTAAACTAAAGCTAAATATGTTTATATTGTTTTTGTTACCATTAATGTGCTACAGTAATGGTTCTGTACCATTGTCTTCTATAGATGTAAGTAACATAATACCAATTAACAAGAAGATTGTTATATTTGGGGAGCGGGCCGTGTCGAGCCCTCACATAATAAAGTTGTTTACTTTCCGCACGGCCGGCGAACCTAATTTGTATTATTTTTATACAAAAGTTTCGACAAAATGTTAACAGTAATTTGTAAGTTTATAAAGATAAAGAAATAATATATTTCTATGAATTTAACACAAAATATTGTTTTATATTGAATACCTACATATTGTATCATAAATTGAATGAAGAGAAAATAAATTATGAAGATTATTATACCCTTTAAATCTCATTTTATTCAATTTCTTGCCCTGATACGTTCACATCTTTACAACAACAAATCAACCGATTAAAATTATCAGATAATTATGAAACATTTAGAAATCATACCTACACAACCAGAATTATTCTATACCTATAGATTTTTTAATCAGAATTATTACATAATATGATAACCACATCTTACAACATACACCATAATAGGTACATGTAATGGAAACAAATATTGACGTAGAATTTGATGAACTGGTATGCGCAGATTTGTGCCCATTTCCTTATCTGACAACTCCACAATACCCATGTGATGGACAGCTCACCAGACAGCGTACCTAATGATAAATACGTTTACGTATTATGTATTAACATAATTATATAATTCTGGAAACCGTTATCTTGCATAATCTATGAGTCCATCCAATAACAAAATCAAATTAAAAACACCAGAGCCACAGTGCCAAGAACATTTCGCAAAGATCTCAGAATTTTATTCTGTTTTTTCCAATGATATTGTAAACAAGCGATAAAGCAAGATAATGCAGTTCTGTATAAACAACTCCATTCTGGGCAAAGATAAAGTGGATAACGTCCAATCATGAGCCGTTATTTTATAATTTACCGATATTAAGTCGCATTAAAAAGCCAAGCCCGCTCGTAAAGTCAAACTGCCACGAAGGTCACTCACGAGATTCGATGCCAAGAGATATGCGTAAAACGGATATCCGAAATCAGTGAAAAGCATATTGAACAAACATTCTGTCTAATCATTTGAAAAGTGGGTCAGGATTTGGGCGGCGATGTCCGCGCCTAGCCTACGCATTGTTCTCTTTTAAAACACCACAGTATTTACTAACACGCCAGTGTTTATTCATTATACTGTATGTAGTCGCCTGCCGTGTTACATAAACACTCATATTTATACTTTATGTTTTTTATACATCGTTTGTTGATATCGGTGGCCAGAGGCCTGATGTTTGCCAACCGTTAGGCGGCTGGATATATTTCACGGAACCCTGTTACCTGAGAAGCGAGGGAGAACTTGTATTGTAATGTAAAAGCTTTCTCTATTGGATCATTTCCAAAAGCACCTTCGTGTGAGGTCGGTCGCCACCGGGAGTCTCCTGGTGACTCATCGCAGAAACAATACACTTATTTTCTGACAATACCTAGCCGAACTTTACTTGGAAACGTGCGTTACTTTAGAAATTAATTTTGTAATCATAGCTTATCGAATATCCGTCCTTTTGTTTCGGAATGAAACGAGCTTTTGCTTGGCTAATCACGCCCGAGATTAATGGGAAACCTGGCACTGCGTCAAAGATTTGAAAGCTAGTTTCTGTTTACCAATATTCTGTTAGCAAATGCTTTCAGAGTTTTCTATAAGAATATATTGCAGCTTGCACAAGAAAAATGTTGTTTTGGTGAAAAGTTGTCTGATAATAGTCCGCCATAGTGCATATCTAGTTTATAGGTGTGCTAAAAGTTTAAATAAATAATATTATAAATTACCAGCGGCTTCACCCGCGTGAAATTTAGTTTGTCACACACATATCGTCATAAATTATAGCCTATAATTATGTTATTCTGGGTTATAATAATAATACTGTAGAGTTTCATCTAAATCCGTTTAATAGTTTTTACGTGAAAGAGTAAAAAACATCCATCCAGTCATCCAGACATCCAAACTTTCGCATTTATAAATTAGTAGGATTAACGGGATGTCCGTAGTTTTGATTTCTGACGCATGGTAACCACTAGCGACGGGATAAAGAGCAGTGTCGGGTTTATTCTACGTCAAATTTGTTGTTTTTCGCCAGAGGACATAAGGATAAAGCTGTTATTCAATAGGTACATTGTTATTCGAGAGGCATTAAATTTAATAGAATATAATTTTCGATAACGTATTTGACAAACAAACAAGGAATGCTGTAAAATTAATTACCTATTTGAACATAATGCGAAAACAACACGAATGGACACTGATTAGTAAATTGGAACTACGTACGTGAAATGTTAACACCGTTTTTTGAACAATTTCTGATAGAAATTGCGGAAAATTCGTTCGGAGCGATGTTGTCATGGCCATGGGGCACATTGTAAACCAGCGTCGTGGGTCGTGGTCGTGACCTTTGTCACCGTGGGTCACGACTCACGACGGCACATGCTGAGTGGGGTCCTATTGCAATGGTTATCGCTATTGCATTTTCTTCTTTCTTAATGTTTTCTTTTATGTGGTACTTGTCCTTTTAGCCTAGGCGCAAACCATCGATTTTTCATCGGCCGATAGTTTAGTCGGACAGTTGATCAGTATGGGCATGTATGGAAGTGCGCTCATTACACCGATTTGATTTGGCCGATTCTTCATACAAATTAAAATCGGGCCCAACTATCGGCCAACTAAAAATCGGTGGTCTGCATCTAGGCTTAGTATTTGTGTAATATTTTCTCTTTCTTTCGATGTTACATGGTCGAAACCATGATTATGACGTCTTAACTAAGGCAAGACTATTGTTATGTCTCTAAGTGATACCCTAAGCCCTCGTAAGCTAGCGGGAGTGAGGCGGGGCCACCTGTCACTCCCTGGCGGCCATCCAAGCGCACGCGTGCCCGCGCCCGCGCGTGTAGGGCTGCGTGCGTATTGCGTGCACGCATAGCGTGTGTTTAATAAGGTCTGCCCCTTGGACAAAGAAATACGTGATAAAAAAATGCTTTGTTTTGGCTTTTTTGGACGTAAGTTTGTTCCGTGAAACAATGGCGAAATTGGAACAGTCATGAATGTTACCGTCTAACTAGATTCAAGTTCAAATACTTTATTTCAAGCAGAGCCTTTGTTAGTCAAAATTTACCATAAACGTCCAGTGCTACATAGTACCTAACTAGTGTTAAACCACAGAATAATAATAAGTACTACTTAGTTAAACTAGGAATTTAAAGTAAGGAAAAGCTTTCTTTATACTAAGGAAAAGGCTTGTCAAAAATTGGGGATGCTTAATCGCAAAGAAAAAAAGAGAAGATTCAAGATTTTCATTTTATAATATCTGTCCAATAATATAATAATGTTACATCAAAATAATATTTTTTTAAATGTATTATTTCGTGAAAACAATCTCCACTTTCCTCTACTTTTCTTGACCAGGCTTTGTACCTGTAAATTACTATCAAAAATCTTCACTTGGGGTCTTTCTCTTAGAATATAATGGCGTCTTTGCTAGCCCTAAGGCTGCGACACGAGCGTGTAAATCAGATAGATTCATTGCACTATTGTGCGGCTAAAAATAAGGGGCGTTATGTAACTAAGATTTGTAGCCGATTCTACATTTTTCTCGGTAGCGCAGATAAATAACTCTAGTTTCAAATGAAAATAGACACGCTGACAGGTAGGGGGAATTTAATTATGTTTTATTTATATGCTTGGCTGAAGATATTCGGTTAGAGCAAGTTTTAGTTAGTAAATATGATGATGGTATAAGTTTGGTTTATGCCCGTTTTTACCATCAATCCCTAATTTTTAAGTGATCCCTATGAAAACAAATTTCCTATTATGTGTTACTATAGGGGTCACTTAAAAAATATGGGTTGCTGGTGATAACGGGCATTAGTGTTCCTGAGAAGAGAGTACCAACGAGTTGGATAGGTATTATAAGATTATTATTAATATTTTTTATTAATTAACTTATATTGAAAGATTTTTTGGGGAAACCAAACAAGTAAATCTATTACAACGAAATATGCTTCTAATTATTTTTTGTTTTACTAATTACTTTAGAAGTTGGGATAATTGTCTAAAGAAACATCAATTAACTGCAATTTACTCGATAACATAATGATGTACTTAATAATTAGCGCAATAATTAACAAAAGCTTTTACTGTAATTGTGAAATGCTAGTTAAATCGCTAACATAGGTAATTAGAACCGACAAAAATAAACAATGACTATCGCAACTAGTTAATTTTGCAATGGTTATGTAAATAACATTTTGTTTGCTAGCTAAGCATAGCCGCAGACCACCAATTTTTAGTCGGCCGATAGTTGGGCCCGATTCTAATTTGTATGAAGAATCGATCGGTGTAAAATGCGCACTTTCATACTACATCTCCAAATTGATAAACAGCCCGACACAACTATCGGCCAACTAAAAGTTGGTGGTCTGCGTCTAGGCTAAATATCTAGGGCCGTATTACAAAAAGTTAAACCCGGGACGAACTCTGGTTTAAAATGTCATTTCCGTACTAAATGTCAATTTAAACCAGGGTGCAAACGGAGACTAACTTTTTGTAATAAGGGGGCTACTGATTTGTGCTCATATCACTAGCAGGTTATCTTCGAAGTAGCCAAACTGGTCCAGGAATAGGAACTAGTCTAGGCTGGTACTAGTCGACTAGTAACTACTAAATAGTTTATTAACCAACTAATTGAGCGATTTTACAAGCTCTCCATCTCTTCACACTAACCATTACCTGTGTACATGCGTGTACTTACGTACAGCAGCATCTGGCAGCATCAGACTAATGCATTTTTGTTGCCAACTAGCCCCTGTTACGACTGCATAAGACCACAGTTCAGCTTAATATGCTCTCTTGCGTACAATCATCATCATCATTTCAGCCATAGGACCACTGCTGAACATAGGCCTCCCCCAATGACTTCCACATCGCAAGGTTGGTAGCGGCCTGCATCCAGCGCCTTCCTGGTACCTTTATCTGGTCGTCGGTCCACCTTGTGGGTGGACGTCCAACGCTGCGTTTTCCGGTACGCGGCCTCCATTCCAGAACCTTGCTGCCCCATCGGCCGTCAGTTCTGCGTACTATAGATAATTGATTTTCCATTTTGTCTGGTCAATGTCTTTGGGTAGTGTTTTGATGATTGTTAGATATTTAGCAGTTCTTCATCTTCATAAAGACCGG